AATATTATACTGTTAAGCTAAGAAAAATAAAGACATTTGAGAGCTAAGTATATAATTTTTTAATTTAATTAAAATATCTACATTATAACAATAGGTATTCAAGAGTCTCTGGAACTGACTAGTATGCGTGAGAGTGAAAGAGAGATAGTATTCGGTTCTCTCTGTCTATTCTATCTAATCTATAAGAGATTTAGCATTATGATATATAAATAGAAGTAGATTATGTAATAAAAGGGTTAATTTATTTGAGTTATTCAAATAAATTTGTAAGTATAATTTGCTAATAATAATTTAAGTATTTTTTGTAAAATTCACCATTTTCTTTATTAATTAAATATAAAAATTATTCCAGATCGAAAGATTAAAGCGCACAGATCTTAAAAACTGAAAAATGTGTTCATATTTTTTCACATTTATTTTTAGATTCGTGTTTGTTAGACAAAGGACGGCGTAAAATTCCTTTACTACCCTAGTTTGAAATGCTATTCATTATAATTTTTTTTGGTGTATATACGTACATATATATGATGGTGTGTGTATATGTGGACATTATTATTACTATTAGCACATAGAGGTAAATATATATTTTCGTATATTAAAAGATCTATGTAAAAGAAATAGAAACAATATCCATTTACATATACTCTGCATTTTATAACATGTAGCAGGTCGATGATTCCCAATTGAGGGTATCGCTGTCTGGTGTTAAGGATTCTCCTCCTTCATTATATATTATGGCTCTTAACGTAACAGCCCAATAGATAAATCAATATTGAATGAATCGATAAAATAGTTTCGCGTATGAGAAAAAGCAACACATTGGATGTTGTCATGCTATCTCAGTCTATCTCTTGCCCTCGCTAGCGAGATCGATTCTATCGATAGACTCATTTGTAGAAAAAAATAAAATAAAACGCAACTTATGGATTTAACAAATAATAGGTTTTTTAAAATAAACTTTTAATAATTATATTATTAAATCAATTTATAAAAATATTATATTATTAAATAATTATTAAATCAATTTCTATTCCAGACATATATAATACTATTTTTAATAAAAACTGCTAAAATGCCCGTACCAAACTATAACCTGCAGAATACAGTTGCTACAATTGTGTGCAAAATTTGCCTAATACTAGAACCAAAATATCATAAATGTCTAATACACGCTACATTTAGCAAAATGGACGTTAATTTTATTTTGGTACATAAGCTCAAGGCTGTGCCTAAATCCATATTTGGAATTTGCTAGTGTAGTCTATTCTATGTTGTTATCGAGAGAGTTTATAATATATTATCCATGTAGTTCCGGTACAAAATGGGCCACTTCTTCCTTTCCCGTGGGTGTCGTAAGAGGAGACTAAGAGATGGTGAGGGATGAGCAGCAGTGTCCCTCTTAAAATATCTCTAAACTCTAACTGCGGTTGCCAATCCGCCTGCCAAGCATGGCAACTACTGGCAAAACCCTCCAAGGGAGAGGCTTATGTTCAGCAGGGGACAGTTAAAGGCTGATAGGATAGGATAGGATACCGAAATAAAATATTTAGTGTATTTACGTTAGGCTGTAATCTATTAGTGTACCCAATTTCGTTAATATCCGTTCAGATATTTAGGCATGATTGAGTAATAAACATGAATACATAATAAAAATACAAACTTTCACATTTATAATTCTAGTAGGATAAGGATAATAAACAGAAACAATTAATAGATTTTAAAAGAGATTAAAGAATTAAAATTGTAGATTATTGAGACTTGGTGGGATTTTATTTTTATATATTTTTTATTGCACTTTTAAGTTACATATACAATAATGTATTTATAAATGTTGTGAGCAAACGTGGACTTATCTCTGACAGAGATCTCTTTAAGTAAATCTAATACAGTTAGAAAGCATGTCGTTAGCGGTCAGCTGAAGTGCTACAACTATTAATACATAAACAAATATACAGTTTTACATTCATTGTAATAAACTTTCACTACTCCAAAATATTCACTTATTTTTACTTTCCTTTTCTCTTCAATTTCACGGTATAAATTCTCTTAAATAGAAAAAAGTGGAAATTAATAATTAAATTAATGAGTAAATGCAGGATAAAAAGTTCTAAATTTAAGAGTGGATGCAATTAAATTACAGAATGAATAAAGAATTTATTCTTAGAATTTATTAATCAGAAAGAAGTGGCTATAATATAAAAAAAATTAAAAATACTAAAGTAACATTATTATATATTTGATTTACTATCAAGAGCATAGTGACGCAAATAAATAATGTATATATTAATAACAAAACATGTTTCACTAAGATCATTTATATGTAATGTAATACAATTTACCAAAATGTAAAGTAACAATGAAATTAATATGTAAATGTAATGTAACATTCGTTGTACATTACATGAATATCTTTACAAAATCTGTATTTATTCTGCCTAATAGAAAGTATTTAATTAATTTTGAAATATGAAGGCTTTTGCTAAAATGAAGCTTTCTTCTTATTATCAATATTTTTAATATTTTCAGTATAAAATAAAAAAAAAAAAAAATGTAATATTACAAAACTATTACGGACGGATGTAATAATTAGTTTTATTTTGATATAAAATAAAAAACAAAAAATAGATAAAAAATCTCAGGTTGATTTAGTTGTTTATAATTTAATTTAATTTTGATAAAATGTATATATTCATTTTATAGTATTTTACATAATACACTGTGATGACATATCGTCATAGTCGTAGAATACTGACGGATCTATATATGTAATATTTGTCAGATACGTTAGTATTCTACGACTACGACGATTTAACACTTTGGTATTAAAATATGTTATGTAAAGTAGTAAGTATTTTGTAGCGTGTATTTTTGTTTACGAGGCATGGTATCTTAATTTTTAGTTGCAAATTCCATTTGAATATTTCGTATGAGTTTACAATATTGATATGGTTACTTCATATAGCTAAAAGGTTAAAAAATCAATGTTTAATATAAAATATACCATTTTTTCTATTTGTAAGTTATTAAAATATTAACTATAAAAACCACGTTAATAAGAAATACATTATTTGGTATTTAACTACTGCCATTTGAATAAGTTTTATTTTTATATGACTATTAAGGAAAGTAAGCTAATGTATGTATCGTATAATATATGTATGCAATGTATATACATATAAATTACGTTACATATATAACCTCTGGTATTGCAGGTGTTCATAGGTTACGGTAACCGTTTACCATCGGGTGGGCCGTATGCTTGTTTGCGACCTCAGTGGTATAAAAAAAAAACTGTCAATTATTACTACATACATATTTGTCATGCTTGTCTCCCTTTAGAGTAGGAAGAAACAATGGAATTAGAATAATTCATATATTTATATAATATATATATATATATATATATATATATATATATATATATATATATATATATATATATATATATATATATATATATATATATATATATATATAATTATATAAACATATAACAACATTTTCTCTTTTGGTCTTATTACTTTTTTCTATTAAGAATATTCAGTTTTATGGCGTCGTTCCCTAAATTCATCTCAAAAACTAAAATTGGATTTTTGCATAATAATTATATTACAGACGGCCGTTATGACTCAATTATACAGTAAACAGGCCCGTTTTAAGTCGTAACTGAAGCCTCTGAACAACTTTTGGGCGCCCTGACGATGAAAAAGGTCATCAGTACAGTTTAGTTGGACTTAATGCGATCTTTTATAGGATTTAGTATTTCGACTCTAATGGACTTTGACGCCCAGTTGGATCTCGATGCCTCTGGGTATAGCTCGATTAGCCTTCTCCCAAGTTCAGTATCAAATATTTTTTGTGCATTATTTTGCTGTATTATTAACATGAAATTTTAATTTTAGAGTTTTTTCGTCATCGTCTATTGATTATTTTATTCTTCTAAAGTTAATTTTTTATCATTGAAAAAAAAAAGAAAAATAAAAAGTTAGTTCGTAACCAGCAAATATATCGCGAAATGTACATACAAAAACGAAACAAGATTCCTTTTTCGACAAATTTTTTAACTAGTTATAACTTTTAGGAACTTAATACCGGCGTTATTAAAGAATTAAGAAATTAAATAACATTGTTTTAAAATTATTAATTATCTTTTAAATTAATAATAATCTCATTTACATTACTTCGTATTTAATTTATTTATTATGTGTTATAAACTCTTGTGTATTATCGATATTTTATTAATCATCATATTTTAGTCGTTAACTATCCACTGCTGAACATAGGCCGATGTTTATTGTTTTTTTAATATTAAATGAATATTAGTAAAGTTTTTTAAATATAAAGATTATTTTTTCACGGGACCTAGAACATATTTTCTTTTATAGACAATTTTATAATATTAAATATTTATCTACTGAAAATAAAAAATAGTAATTTTTTTAAATATACATTTAAGTTAAAGTGTGTATAATAATGTGTATTTTAATATTTACCTATAAATTAATTAATTATTAAATTAATAACAATTTCGTTTCAAATTTTAATAATAATTATTAAAAGTTCTTTAATTGTCACAATATGTTTTTTTTTTAAAAGTAAATGTAATGTTTGTGTATTTGTACTTAAAGTGAAACATAAATAAAATAAATATATTAATTTTATAATTGCCTGCTTGATGCATGAAATTATTATAAATATAATATTTATTTTGATGCTTTTCACTATATTTTTTAAATATATATATAAGAATAAATTTAAAAACACTTATGTAATATGATAATAATTTTTGATAAAGTTTAATATAATTTAATAAATATTTTAATAATTTTCTTCAATATTTAATTATAAAGTTGTTGTAATAAATAATTAAAAACTTTTATAGTAATATTTTAAGGACTAAAACTGCTTCTAAAAATTTGTGCAATTTTTACACGAATATTCGTAATGGATTAAATATATTTAAATAAAAAAAAATTGTATTAAAAAAATAATTCAATAAATGCAACTCAATATATTTATTTTGTAGATATCATAAAAAAAATGCACTAGTAAAAAGTGGGCCAAGTTTACTTCTGCAATAAATTAGTGTAAAATTAATAAAAAATCAATGGGTTAACAATGTGTAAACAGTTTGAAGAAACCCCGCCCTTTCTCCGGTGCTGGTCCCATTAACATCGGAACTTGGTTCTTGTGGGTTATAATTATCTGTAATAGTATAAAAACATCATGTAAATCGGTTCTCATTTGTCAAAGTTATATAAAAAGTAATACAGATAAAAGAGGGGATTCTTATTGTTTTTGACGCTGGTATTTCAAACAAGCTAATATTATTCACTAGCTGTTCCCCGCGACTTCGTCCGCGTTTCCGTCGTTTTTCGTAAAATAAGTAGCCTATGTCCTTCCTCACGATTCAGTGGTTTTGATGTAACAGACACATTTCCCTTCACTGCTCTGCTCCTATTGATCGTAGCGTAATGAAAGGTATACTATAACCTGCCCAGGAGTACGAAGAATAATTGTACCAAGTTTCGTTAAAATTCGTCGAGTAGTTTTTGTTTCTATAACGAACATACAGACAGACAAAAATTTTACTGATTGCATTTTTGGCATCAGTATCGATCACTAATCACCCGCTGATAGTTATTTTGGAAATATATTTCATCTACAGAATTGACCTCTCTACAGATTTATTATAAGTATAGATTATGTCTTATCATACATTAGGTCATACATCATATTATTTTTACCAGAGGGAGACTTTGTACAGAAGTCGTTTGCTTGGGCACCTCTGTCACATTTCTATTTCTACCATGAAGCAGTTGTATTTGCATGGCTGTGTTTCGGTTTGAAGGGTGCGATATGGCAGTGAATTTACAGGGTACAGAGGAATAACACTTGAGTCCTCAGGAATGGCAACGCATGGGGGGTATCATGGGCTAAACAGTATACTCTGTTATGTACATGGTATTGCTCATGGTTATAGACGAGGGTTACCACTTTCCATGATGTAGATCCTCAGCTTGTTTGCCATTCTAAAGTGCATGAAAAAAAAATTATATTACTTTGCAAGGCGGTTGCATCCACGGTTCTCCATCTATCTGCATTGGGAATGTCTTTTTCGTTGTGATTGTTATTGAGCTACACTGCGCCAATCGCCGGCCTGATGCTCTTAGACCTGGGCATAGATAAAATGATACTGTACCGGCAGCCAAGATTAATAAGAAAAATAAAACAAAAAACGGAAAAAATAAAATAAAATTAAATTTTAGTTTTTAGTAAAAACATGCATAAATAAATAGAATAGACTATTTGTAGACCCGTGAGCCACATCTTAGAACAAATCATTGCTTCCCAAAACATGAGATCGTGATCAATCGCGGAACATTTCAATAGCAAAAAAAAGTTTTGTGACCACTTTCAGATTTCATCATCAAAATCTATTCAACATCTGACAGTTATTTGTACTATTTTCTGAAAGAGAATAAAACAAGAGAATAAAAACTCGAAAAAATATACCCAAATTAAGAGAAACTTTAATTCACGAAAGTTTAACTGAGCTGGCAGAGAGCTAGAATTAATGATCTTAATGTCATAAAACTCAGGTGTATGTAAGTTTTAGTACTTAGTTTTAGTATTTTTACATACAATTCTTCTTAAAAAGAAATAAGAATTGTTTATAACTACTCCTCTCCATCCAGAGGTTGCCTGCAAGAGATCGCTCTTAGCGATAAGGTCGCCCACTGTTTTCTCACTGTGATTATTTCTTGTAATTATTTATATTTATAATAAGTTTGCTATTGTAATATTTTGGAGGAAACAATAAAGAGTATCTATCTATCTATCTAAGAAGAATATAAATTGTGAGTTGATCATGCACGGGCATTTAACGACCATGTAATTTTATAGACATTTAAACAAATACACATAATGTTAACAGAGATTTAATTTAAAAGAGTAACTGTTGAGTTTCTTGCGGGCTCTTCTCAACAGATAACAACTTTACGAAATTTACAGTTGATAAAAAAAAAAAACAATTATATATTTGAATAAAAATGATTTTAATATGAATTAACACATCAACTTACCAGTGCGAACTTGGCCCATGTGTAGACAATTTTCTAGACCTATTACTTCTATTAGTTTATCACCAATATCTGTAATGAAATTAATTTATTTTGCTGGAATGTAAGTAATTTTTAGACGAAAGTTGTTTACATGTGCCGTGTACATTCTGCCTCTATGTCGGCGTGCAAATGTTTAGCAATATATTTATATATATATTTATATATATATATATATATATATATATATATATATATATATAACACTCGTTTGACCAATTTCGTAGTAATAGTGGTGGTCAATCTTCTAGTGTTGGCAGTCGCACACATACTAATGGTGGCGGAATTAAACAAAATAATTCTAACCAAATATCCAGTAAGTTTTTATTTGTCCAACGGTTGTACAACAATCTATGTAAATATATTATTATTATGTATATAATAAGGTATCTCTTTAATTAATTCTAAGATAAAATCTAAAAAAAAAACTCAGATATGCCAAAGTAATATATCTATAATGTATGTATAAAATTGAAATATATACATATAAAAAAAAAAAAACAAAATTAAAATTAAACAGTCAAATTGTTTATAATTACTTCTCTCCATCCAAAGGTTGCCTAGAAGAGATCGCTCTTAGCGATAAGGTCGCCCATTGTTTTCTCACTGTGATTATTTCTTGTAATTGTTTATATTTATAATAAGTTTACTATTGTAATCTTATGGAGGAAACAATAAAGAGTATCTATCTATCTATACCATTAAAAGTTATAGTAAATTATAATATAAGTTGCATGATGGATACAACAGAAGGTGGATGGACCCTCATTCAGTTATGTACCTTGTTGAGCGTTAGGAAACCGGCCCCTACGGTGTGCCCCACTCGCCCCCCACAAGTTGGACCCCCCGTGGGCGTAGGGGATGTTCAGCAGCGCCACGCCTTGCAGCGCTGGACCCTTGTTCAGCTCCAGGGATGAGCCGTCACACTGTTCAATAGGATACAATTTTACTAATATAATAAAATTGTAACTGAATGATGTCTGTACATGAGAGATATAATGAAGAGAGGAGATATAAGAAAAAAAAAATATATGAGGGGTCTTAATAAGGGCAATAGAAGCTAGAAAAATATTTTTTTAAATTTTGTCTGTCTGTTTGTTTTGGTGTCACGAAAAAACTACTGCATTAAATTGTATGCGGTTTTCACAGTTGTATTTCTTAAAATCTACGGGTCTACCATGAAATGAAATTCCGAAATTTCGGACTCAATTTCGTGTTTTTGTTTATACCAAAATCAGGCATGTATTATTTAATTTTACCATCAAATTTGTGTTTCGTTTGGCTCCGAAATTTCGGAAAACATTTTATGGTAGGCCCTCTGCTATTTGCTTCATCTTGATACGACATGTAGGAGTGGTCTATTTAGTTGGTGTTTCTACTTATGAATTCCGCGTGTACGAAGTAGCGGGCAAGAAGCTGGTTAAAAATATAAACAATATAACCGGTCAAGTGTGTGTTGAATTCACCCGCCGAGGGTTCTGTATATAAAAGAATAGGTACATATTTTTTTTAGTTTGATTTCAAATAAAAATCATGTTATCAAATTATTTTAGATTACTTAGATGTAAGTATGTATTATAGATCATTAGAAAGGTATTTATATGGTAGTCATTTGACATTTTAATAAAATATATGACAAAATTTTATTTGCACAGCAAAAACCAAAAAAATAAATTAATAACCGTAATAATAAAAGATTGTGCCCCAGAAAAAAAACCGATTTATAATGTGTAGTTTGTATTATTCTTTGTGTATACATATCTTATGTGTTTATACAATATATACAGATCGTATGACTGCCTATTTTTATTTTTAAAATAATACAATTTACACGAAAAGGTTTGCTGGAAGAAATCTCTTATTAGCTCGCCTTTGTACATTATGTTTATAATTAATTGTGATTAACAGTATGTTTTGTGTACAATAAAGAATAAAGATAAATAAAGAAGATTTAAATTCTGATGATACCATTTATTTTAATTTAAAAACTAAAATACTGAACTGATTTTAATAAAATTTCTATAAAACTAAACGGTAAACATATCCTTTCAGATAAAAAAAGAATTTTCCAGATCGGTTTAGAACTGACGGAGTTATGAGGTAACAAACATAAATAAAAACTCAATTGAATTGATAAGTACCTTCTTTTTGAAGTCGATTGAAACAAAGCAATTTATTCATACCGCGATTAGTAAATTTTTTTTTATACAACTTAGAATGGCAAACAAGCTGACGGCCCACCTGATGGAAAGTGGTAACCGTCGCCAATAGACATGAGCAGTACCATGGACATAACAGACTATATTGTTTCGCCCATGATACCCCCCATGCGTTGCCATTCCTGAGGACTCAGGTGTTATTCCTCTGTACCCTGTAAATTCACGCCATATCCCACCCTTCAAACCGAAACACATTCATGCAAACACAACTGCTTCACGGTTGAAACACGAATGGGACAGAGGTACCTGAGCAATCGACTTTTGTACAGTCTCCCTCTGGTGAGTTCCCTACCTACTGTCTTGCGAAGCAATATCACTGTTAAAAACATAAAGTTTAAACTGACAGCTTATTTACTGTCCAACCTTGCTGAAACAGCAGAATATTAATGTAAATATTGACATTTGAGAACGAAATGTAAAGTATCACACACAAGCCCAAGAGGTTTAAGTGGGAGGAAAGGAATTGTTAGTAATGGAGACTGAGAATCCCATTGGTAGCAATATAACCAACCAGGTCGACCTCCTCGCGGTTCTCCCTGGAAACTATCATGGTTAATTCTCGATGAATTCATCATGATGAGCTAACTGGTCTGTTTTCATTCTCATCTATCACCCTTCACTGGTGCTCCGCCAGCGTATCCCGTTAGCGCAGGCGGGATTACAATACCATTTTCACCCATCCAAAAAAAAAAAAAGAGGTTTAAGTGTTATTAAAAATCCATAGTTTTTTTAAAGTATTTGTATGTTAATTAAATAATAAAAAAAAAAATCTCACCACGATATCTATGTGCTCGTGTAAGTTCTTGCAACTGGCCGCAAATTGCTCGGAGGTGGCGAACTCGAAGTACCACAACTTGTTCTTCATACGAGAACTGAACTTATCAGGGTTTCTCTCCCGCTCTGTGTGGAACTTCACGCAGATCGCTGCATCCTGCAAGAGATATTAAGATTTTTTTATACCACTGAGGTGTGAAACAAGCATACGGCCCATCTGATGGTAAGTGGTTACCGTAGTCTGTGAACACCACGCGTACGTTGCCGACCCTGAAGAAACCTCTTTACACCTCTTTTGAAGAACCTCATGCTGTAGGCTCTTGGGGTAAACCTCGGCAGGGAGCTCATTCCACAACCTGAGTGTTCGTGGGAGGGAACATCTCTGAAACCGCGCAGTATGCGACCATTGAGGCTGTATGACATGAGGATGAACTCCCTGTCGATGGCGATTAAGGGTTATCATAATTATCATTCCATCCACTATCCGTCCACTGCTGGACATAAGCCTCCCCCATAGACTGCTATATAGAACGGTCCTGAGCCACCTGCATCCACTGACTCCCTACAACGCATTTCAGGTCGTCACTCCATCTAGTGGGGGGTCGTCCTACACTGCGTTTACCCGTACGTGGTCGAAATTAAGAATTATAATAGCTTTTAATTAAAATAGGCCATCCTTTATATTCTTGTGGGTATCATAAAAGGCGATTAAGGGAGGGAGAGAGATAGACAGCAGCGCCCCTCTTAAAACATCATCCAGCCTAACTACAGTTGCCAATCCGCTTGTCAAGCGTGGCAGCTACTGGCAAAACTGCCCTTATGGGGAAAGCTTATCTCCAGCAGTGGACAGTCAACGGCTGAAATAATAAACAATGGTGACCTTCACGTGTTGCTAGACTTGAATATTACCATATGGAGACTTGAAGTTGTCTGCATACATATTTTTTTATCCACTATGCAAATGTGATGTTTTCGACTCGAAAAGACGTCATTTTTAGTTATTTAAACTACCGTAAAAAAATAATTCTTTATATAATATGTCGTAATTTGTAAAATAGTTACAGAATGACGTCCTTTTGCAAGAAACCGTAAAATGACTAAAAAATGACGTACTTTTGTTCATGAACGTAATCATCTTCATCATCTTCCTACCCTTATCCCAATTATTATTAGGGGTCGGCGTATTCTGGTTTTAAACATATTACAAAAAGATTTGGCTTTTAGCTTTACGTCCGGCCGCCTGCCTGACGTCAACCCTCTTTGGGAATGCATTTGTTGGTGGTTTCCAAACGGTATGGAGGAAAGGATTGAGGAAACCAGGAAGGGAACGTTGGAAAAGCGTAAAGGAAATTGGTGAATGAGGGGAAAAAGGGACTTATGTGGGAAAGGAAAGGGGGGGGGGGAGGGACACTGCAGTTGCGGAAAGGACTGGGACACTGCAGCAGCTCGGGAGGCCGGGGTCGCATACCCGTATGCCCTTATTCCAGAGTCTGCTAGTATCTTTTCAATAAAAAAAATCTATATCGGTTTACAAATTACGGAGTTTTGAGATAATAAACATACAAAAAATTAACAATCGAATTGGGAACCTCTTTCTTTTTTAAAGTAGGTTGAATATCGATTTACATTGAAGACGTAATTGCGTAAAATAATCGCAGTAAAAGTCAGACAAGTTGAGAAATCCTTTTTATAGGGGGGAAGGGATTGTTAGTAATGGAGACTGAGAATCCCATTGCTAGCAATATACCCAACCAGGTCGACCTCCTCGCGGTTCCCCCTGGAAACTATCATGATTAATTCCTGATGATGATCCTTTTTATAAAAATTTTTTTGTAGCCGGTTTTTTTTTTGATTGGTGAAAATGGTATGGTGACCCCGCCTGCGCTAACGGTATACGCTTGCGGAGCACCAGTGAAGGGTGATAGATGAGAATGAAAGCAGGCCAGTTAGCCCATCATGATGAATTCATCAGGAATTAACCATGATAGTTTCCAGGGGAACCGCGAGGAGGTCGACCTGGTTGGGTATATTGCTAGCAATGGGATTCTCAGTCTCCATTACTAACAATCCCTTCCCCCCCTTTTGTAGCCGGTTAAAAATAGATAATATACTTACAACACCTATGGAGAAGTAGTTATTGATGATGTTGTATGGGACCGACGTTGGATGAGGCGCTGATTCTGGCATCTGAAGTTGTTCGCACTGTAATACAGAGTAGTTGCTTTTATCTATACATTCAAATCAGTGCAGCAGTTTTTATGTAACGCCGAAACATACATACAGACTGACAAAATTTTTAAAAATGATTATTTTAGCCTTTATTGCTCTTAATAAGAACTTCCATATGAATTTTTATTACATATCTCCTATGTACAGAAATCGGTTTTATTTTATACAACTTAGAATGGCAAACAAGCTGACGGCCCACCTGATGGAAAGTGGTAACCGTCGCCTATACACATGAGCAGTGCCATGGACATAACAGAGTATACTGTTTCGCCCATGATACCCCCCATGCATTGCCATTCCTGAGGACTCAGATGTTATATCTCTGTACCCAGTAAATTCACGCCAAATTAGCATTTTATCAAATTAGTAACATATCAGTATTGGTCATGGCTGGAAAGAAGCCATATAGTATATTTAAAAAAAGAAAAAGAATGATTTGAATTTTTGCATACCATTCTTGTATCTCTGTGTGTAATGTCTTATAACTATAATTTTGTTATGTAAATAAATATAAAAAAACACTAGTGGAACTATTAAAGTGGTATCATTTCGGAGTAAATCGTATATATTTTGGTCCATCGAGTCGGAGTATCGAGGATTAACGACAAATTTAAAATCGCATTTTTGCACGAAGTCAGCGAGCGTCAATTGTTGTTGCTGAACATTGTATCGTCGTATTGCAGCCGTAAGGACATCAAAGAAGAACTAAACATATTGTTTGTAAGTGATAAGTGCTGGTGAACTGTGAGTACATTTTATTTATCTAATTAGAGAAGACGGAATTTACTCTAAACATTTCATATAAATATTTACTTGTAAAAACTTTGGATATTATTAAAACTTTAAAATTAAACTTATACAATGGATTCATATATAAAAGTACAGCTTGATTTAAGTGAAAGAATTAGTAGAGCAAAATCCAACTTTAAAAAGGCACCCAAGGAGCGACTTCGTTCCATAGATTATATTAATACTAGATTAGAAGCTTTAGAAGAATTATGGCGTCAGTTTAGTTCGACACATACACAACTCATTCAAAATACAGACTACAAAGATTTGAATGCTAGTTCCTACGTATGTAATAACGTCTATGATTCTACTGAAGAGTTATATATAGAATACAAATTTCAACTGAAGGAAGCATTGACTAGTTTAAGGCAGTCTAGTACTGAAAATGCAAGTTATTCCGAACAAAACAATAGTAATAATATTAATTGTAATTTAAAGCTGCCCAAGATATCTATATCCCCGTTCTCAGGCAAATATTCAGAATGGATTAGTTTTAGAGATCTGTTCGTATCATTAGTACACAATAATAAATATTTAGATGACGTACAAAAACTACATTACTTGAAAGGATTATTAGTTGGGGAAGCGGAGCAATTACTACGTCATGTACCGATTACACATGATAATTACACTATTTGCTGGGAACAATTGGAGAAAAGATATAATAATAAAAAATATCTTTCAAACTGTATTCTGAAAAGGTTTATGAATCAAAAAAGCATCAGTACTGAATCAGCTAGTACACTAAAGGAGTTGCTAGATACTACTAATGAATGTCTTCATGGGCTTAACAATTTAGGAATAGACATCAGTACTTGGGACGTGCTTGTTATCTATATTATAAGTCAAAAATTAGATATGGAGTCTCGCAAGCAGTGGGAACTAAAAATCAGCGAGTTCTCAGATGAGTTACCTACCTTGAAGCAGTTCCAAGACTTTTTAGAAACTAGATTTAGAGCGTTAGAGTTTATTGATCCAAAATTGTCTAAGTCTAATGTAGTGCATAAAAGTAATGTTATTAATAATAGCCCTAAAGTATATCACACAACCAATTTAATATGTCCTTACTGTTCTGAAAGTCATCGTTTAGCAAATTGTAAAAAGTTTTCTAAAGAGGAAACTGATATTAGACGCGAATTCGTCCAATCCCAGGGTTTGTGCTTTAACTGTTTATGTCCAGGGCACTCTGTATTTGCTTGTCGTCAAATCTCTCGTTGCCGTTTATGCAGACGGAAGCATCATTCTCTACTCCATTTAAAAAATGTTACCAATATCAATTCAACCGACACTACAGGTATCGCAAATCAATCGGTTGAACAAGATGTCGTTGCACATGCAACAACATCATCGTCTGTAGATCAATCCACTAGTGTCACGGCCTGTGTTTCGACCTCAAACTGTCAAGTCTTACTTGCAACAGCATTAGTTAGCGCACAATCGAAATCAGGTAATGGTATCACACTGAGATGTTTAATAGATCCAGGTTCTCAAGCTAGTTTTATTACTGAATCTGCTGTTCAATTGCTGACCTTAAAGAAGATACCACACAAAAGTGTTATTACAGGATTAGGAAGTGATCAGGGTCATTCATTGACCTCTAAGTCTATGGTATCGGTTTCATTACAATCACTTCATGATCCCAATTTTACGTTTAAGGTTCAAGCTTTTGTCTTGAGTAAACTCACTTCAATCCTCCCTGAGAGGCAAGTTATTGAAGAACTGTGGTCAGAGTTTTCAAATATCAAACTGGCAGATCCATCATTTCATACACCAAACAAAATCGATATTCTTCTCGGAGCAGATGTTTACAGTAAGATCTTGTTAGATGGTGTAATCAAAGGTCCACCAGGTGTACCTATAGCTCAGCGAACAACGCTTGGTTGGATTATTTCTGGCCCTGTTAATTTAGATGAAACAAATAATATACAAAGGCCACTGATTAGTATGCATATTTCTCATGTAAGTGAAGATGACTTATTAAGGAAATTTTGGGAATTGGAAGCTGAAAACAGTGTAGATATTAAAAAACATTTATCTGAAGAAGAAAAGAAATGTGAAGAAATATTTACAAATACTACGAAGCGGGACAATTCAGGGAGATATATAGTTAATCTTCCATTCCGTAGTGATGATCCCAGTTGTAAATATGGCAATTCTAAAATTATTGCAACTAAAAGATTTCTGCAACTAGAAAAAAGATTATCAATGGATCCTAATTTAAAAATTAAATACGCCGAAGTCATTTCAGAATATCTAGAATTAGGACACATGGAGAAAGTACCAATAAATGAACAAGATGATCCTGAAGCAGTCTATTTACCACACCATGCAGTGGTGCGGGAGGATAGAACCACTACAAAAGTAAGAGTTGTTTTCGATGCAAGTTGTCCTGGTACAAATGGCGTATCTTTAAATCAAGATTTATTAGTAGGACCCACTCTTCAAGCTGACTTGCGTCATCTCTTAATACGTTGGCGTCGTTATCCTATATGTCTTGTGTCTGATATAATTAAAATGTATAGACAGATAAAGGTTGAAGAAAGACACACTAACTTTCAACGTCTGGTATGGCGTGATCATCCGGAAAGTGAACTGCAACATATGAGACTATTACGAGTAACATTTGGAACGGTATCAGCACCTTACCTTGCTGTTCGGTGTTTACATCAAATTGTTTATGATGAAGGCAAAAATTATCCTCTTGCTGCTGAAAGAGTTCTAAATCATTTTTATATGGACGATTTACTAACAGGTTGTGAGTCAGTCGAAGAAGGTATTCAAATCTATAAGGAGATAAATGAGTTATTGAAAAAAGGAGGATTTGAGCTTCAGAAATGGAGTAGTAATAGTGAGGAATTATTGAAAGTAATTAGTGAAGAGGATGTAGCTTCACAAGGAAGCGTGCAATTAAAAATAAATAGTGTTATGAAAATTCTAGGACTTACCTGGAATCGAAGTTGTGATCATTTTGAATATGTTGTACAACTTCCTGAACTGAAGGCACCTGTAACTAAAAGAAAAGTTATTTCGAAATTTCTCGGATTTTTGATCCAGTTGGATGGTTAGCACCTGTTGTTATTCGAGCAAAAATATTCATTCAAAAGTTATGGCTCTCTGAAATAGGTTTACAGGAAGAATTACTAATACAACTTTTGAATAAATGGTTACAATATCTAGAGAATCTTCAAGAAACTTACCTGGTCGATGAATTAAAGAACCTGAAAGAAAAAAGAAAGATTAGTAATAAGAAAAGTGTACTTACCTCCTCGAATCCGTGGAATGATGAAGATGAAACTCTAAGAGTTAATGGACAGTCGCAATGTACTAATATTAATAGTACATGTCATCAGTGCATTATTTTACACAGTTTTCACATTATAATCTCATTAATAATATATAGAGGTTTAATTAAGTTTCTCCTTCGGTTTCATCATAGATACAAATGTAATCATAAGGTCCCACAACTACAAATAGGTGACATAGTGTTGGTGATGGAGAATGATCTTCCGCCAGCATGATGGCTTTATAGTATTACAGTTGAAAAGCACCAGGGAATGGACGGTACACGTGTTGTTAGTTTAAGATGCAAAAACAGCATTATAAAAAGGGCAGTATCAAAACATTGTTTTCTACCGTTAACTAAGTCATTTTGTTTACTTTAAGAGTGAGCGTCTAACATTAGCTGATAACTATAATTTATATCTAAAGAAATTCAAAGTATTATGTTATGTTTGTTCATTGTTATATGTAGTCTAATATTGTTAAATTCTACCAAGGACGTTGTTTATTCTTTAGTTATCTTAATTTTGTGAAGTATTTATTCATGGTGGGCGGATTAAGGACAATATTGTCATATAGTCCTTGGTGGGCGGTATGGTCATGGCTGGAAAGAAGCCATATAGTATATTTAAAAAAAGAAAAAGAATGATTTGAATTTTTGCATACCATTCTTGTATCTCTGTGTGTAATGTCTTATAACTATAATTTTGTTATGTAAATAAATATAAAAAAACACTAGTGGAACTATTAAAGTGGTATCATTTTGGAGTACGTCGTCTAGTATATATAATAAAATCGTAACTGGTCGCTGTCTGTACGTATGTATATATAAGAAAAACTATTATTCTTTATGAACGCAAAAGAACTTAAAACAATGACTGCTAGATTTTTTCTCTGTTTGTCTGTACGTTTATGCGCGTTAATCTCAGAAACGGCTTAGCCGACTTGAATGCGGTTTCTACTAATACGTTGCAGTTTGTTTTGCTTAATTGTTAAGTCTTTATTTTATTGCAATCGGTTCACAAATAAAAAAGTTATATCAATCTAAAGAATCACATATAAAATGCTATAAAATAACCGATCAGTTGAATTGGCTGAAACTTTTTTTATTATACGTATTGATTTTCGAAAATTCCGTCTACTCGTGCGAAGCCGGGTCGGATTGTATTTTTTTTTCATTTGTGCTTTTTTTTTTATTTTCATTCTTTTGTCTCTTTTGCTGTGTATTACGTGTATGTTTTTTTTTATTGTAATTTGTGTGCTGTAAGTAATGTAAATAAATTATCTATCTATCTATCTATCTATCTATTATAATACTCGTAGATTACGTGTAAGTTATTTATCAGTGTAAACGCACCTCTGCGGACGAGTTCTCGACGTGTATCTGCCATCGGTCCATCATGACAGTGCTCGCGCGAGTGATCTTGTCTAAAATCTTGTGAATGGACTCCCCTTCGTAACTAAAATTAATGTTTTATTGTTTTATACAACTTAGAATGGCAAACAAGCTGACGGCCCACCTGATGGAAGGTGGCAACTGTCGCCTATAGACATGAGCAGTACCATGGACATAACAGAGTATACTGTTTCGCCCATGATACCACCCATGCGTTGCCATTCCTGAGGACTCAGGTGTTATTCCTCTGTACCCAGTAAATTCACGCTATATCCCAACCTTCAAACCGAAACACAGACATGCAAGCACAACTGCTTCATGTTTGAAACACGAATGGGACAGAGGTACCCAAGCAATCGACTTTTGTACAAAGTGTATAAAACAACAAAACTATAAAACAACTAAAATTAATGTAAAACAGTCAAGGTTAATAGCCATGTAAGTCCCGGCGTAGAATAAGTCACCCCTTCCTTTCCCATGGGTGTCGTAAGAAGCGACTGAGGGAGCTTATGGTAAAGGGATGGGTGTCTATCAGCCATTATTTGCTAACTGCTGAACGTGGGCCTCCTCCATAGACTTTACAACGAATTTACAAATAGATTTTTTTTAATGGGTGATAATGGAATGGTAACCCCACCTGCGCTATCGGTATACACCGGCACCAGTGAAGGATGATAGGCGAGGATGAAGCAGGTTAGTTAGTCCATCGTGACGAATTCAACAAGAATTGTTCACGATGGTTTCCAGGGGGAACCATGTGGAAGTTGACCTAATAGGACATACTGCATGCAATGGGGCTGTCAAACTCCATTGCTAACAATTCCTTTCCCCTTTACAAAAAAGTTGGTAACAACAGTTCCCAACCCGTCTGCCAAACGTGGCAACTACTGGCAAAATCCTCCATATAAAGGAGGCTTATGTTCAGCAATGAACAGATAACGGCTTATATAATAATAATAATTATACCATACAAATTGAAACACACCCATACAAGCGTAAATGTTTCATGGCAGAAATACAAACGGGTCAGAAGTGTCAATATATTTAAATCCAGAACAAGTCTAAAATACCATGAATTTGTATTATTTAATCATTGCTGTCAATATCTGAACTTTAGCAACATGGATTTAAATTATTTTCTAACCTAATCTAACTTAACTTTATGGGCATACATACATACATATCTGTCACGCCTGTCTCCCATTAGGGTAGGCAGAAACAATGGAACGCCAAATGCTTCGATTCAAACAAACCTCTTTTGCTTCTTCCACATTCATCAACTTTATGGACACTCACTATTATATATGGTTTCTTTCATACATGTGCTTATATTACTTGCATACACCCACTCTAACTTGCCTGCCTCGCTTTGGAATTATAATTTTTGTTTGTATAAATAAAATCCGTTATTGGCTGTATTCATAAGAGACTTAGCATGTTAAGTTATTTTTTAAGAGCTGTGGATTTTTGTATAATATAAAATAAAAATAATAATAATAAATGGTATACAATATAGCTGAATTATTTATACATTTACATACATACATATTATTTTAAAAAGTCATCATTTTAAAAGGTCAGAAGTACTCATACATATGACTTGTACAAAGCGTTTGGTAAAAATGTCTCGTAGTTGGTTAGAGTGGTATGTTTTCCACCCTGCCTTCTCTAGAAGTCATCCTAGTTTCTCTTTGGTGGTTTTGTAGTGTATGTTATACTCACCCGCCTCCCCACCGGAGACACCTGGCCAGATCGTTGCCGGTACCGAGTGGTATCACCCCCACAGCCGGCTGAGTTTCCATTTGAACCTTATCTAAAAAAAAAAAAAATAAGTTTTGCAATTTTTTTAAAGATTTAAATTTAAATTTTAATATCAAGTATTTAATAGAAAAATACATTTAACTATACAAAAAACAATGCTTAAGGCGTTTTACATTATGAACGAAATCTTAATATAAATTGTATTTACATTAAGATTACGTTTCACAAAAAAAAAATACTGATTTCAAACGTGACCAAACCAGTTATTGTGATTCAGATTAGAATAATTCTATTCTAATAATAGAATAGAAAATATGAATTACCAGAAAACGCACAATTACGAAAGAAAATACAAAAATATTATACTTCTTATATATATATATATATATATATATATATATATATATATATATATATATATATATATATATATATAAAAGTCGTGTCGCGGTGTTTGTTATAGACCTGAACAGCTTTACCGATATTTATTAAAATTTCGTGTGCATATTTTGTACAATTTTTTATTGAACTAAAAAATTATTTCCCACAAATGTATATGGTAAAACAACGTTTGCCGGGTCAGCTAGTATATTATATATATATATATATATATATATATATATACACTTTGTTATATATAGACACTTATTATATTTATTTCATATATTGATTATATATATAAGAAGTGTCTATAATAGTGTTATAAAAGTATAGTGTAATCATAAAATATTAGGTAAAAGGAACTGGCTCTGCTGATATATTAATACATATATACACTGGTTATATATAGTCTCTCTCTTATATATATAAGAATTCAAAATAATTCCAGTAGTTTATAAAAGTTTGATAAAAAATATCAGGGATTAACTTGAAAGAAAGAATAGAAACATTTTTTGTCAGTAAACATACATTTACAATATAAATAACATATGCAAAAAGTGTCCCATGCTAGGCAAAAGGAACCGGCTCAGCTGATGCTGTGAGTGAAAGCATATCATTTCAGACAAAAAAAGATTCTTCCAAATCGGTTTACAACTAATAAAGTTACGAAGTAAAAAAATACAAAAAAAAGCATAAACAATACTCTCTTTTTTAAAATCGGTTAAATATCGGTTTACATTGAAGATGTAATTGCGTAAAATAATCGCAAAAAGTCAGACAAGTTGAGAATTTCTCTTTGAAAAAGTCGCAATGATAAAAGGTTGGTGTCATAACTACTTCAATATCCATCTCTATGCCAATGACAATGATTGAAATGATGACAATGATGTGGTACTAGACACACTCACCCATCGTTTCCAACACCCAACCAACTGTACCGTCTCCGCCGCAGCATATGACCCGATAGTTTTTGACATCTTTGAACATTTGCAAGCCTGAAATATGTAAACATTTTCATTAACGAATTTGTTTTATTACAAGATTAGCTTTCGTCCGTAAATTCACGGATTTTTTTTTTAAAATAGAAAAACTCACGAAATAAACTATTTATCCCTTTCAGACCTGAACGATACGGGCGTGAGTTGTAACTTTAAAAAATTCTAAAACCGCGCGTAATTCATCTTTACGCACGAAGTTGAAATAACATGATAGTGAGATTCTAAACCAGCCAATAAGAAATCATTTTAGCGAATAGATGGTGCAGTAGTCTCGTGCGTGCCGGCAAGATGGCTTGGCTCCAAAACACGAAAATATATTTAATTTGAAAGAAAAAAAAATCTTGGGTCTGAAAGGATTATAGACGGCATGTCATGATAATAAAACATATATCAGATTTTATGTTCCACTTTCAAGAAGACAACTGAGACACCGCATTCGATTTGGTGGTTTTTGCGTGATCTCATGACAAAAATAAAAATATATAATTAATAATAATAATTATTAATATACTTTTTTATTTAATTTTGAATGGCAAACAAGCTGATGGCCCACCTGATGGAAAGTGGTAACTGACGACTAAGATGTTATCCCTTTGTACCCTGTAATTTTACTGCCATATTTGATTATGCAGGGTGGGCCAAACTGAAACACAGCCATGCAAACCCGGCTGTTCCATGGCAGATACACTAGTAGGACAAAGGTGCTTAAGCAGATGACTTTTGCAAAAACTCTCTCTCTAATTGTTAAGAGCGATTATTTTTGTATGAAACATTGTTTTGACACTTTATGTAAAAATAAAAATAATAAAATTAATATGTCATGGCATTAACACAAATTTGTAACAAATATCTCACCTTGCATCGGTCCACCTTTTGCTATATCGTGGACTTGCCGAGGATTCAATATATACTGCAGTTTCCTCATAATCCTGGATCCTTGTCGGCCACCCGACTTTGGGTTGATGAAGACTAACAACGGGCAGGTCCCATCGGGTGGAGTGATTTGGAATGAAATAGGCGGAGCTCGGTGTTCTCTTCTCTCTTCTTTCTTATCTTCCGGAGGCGCTGAGATGGAGATTGGCAGTGATATTGAAGTAGGGAGGGTTTGCTGCAAGAATAATAGTTTTACTGAACTGGGCGGTGTGTTGTGGAAGTCCTTATTAGTTGTCGCAAAACGTGTGTAGACAAAATGGCAGTCGGAGATTGATAGCTAACATGGATGTTTGTGGAACTTCTGGTAGTAACAGTGGTGGTCAATCTTCTAGTGTTGGCAGTCGCACACATACTAATGGTGGCGGAATTAAACAAAATAATTCTAATCAAATAACCAATAGAACCAGCGGGACTACCATGAAATGTAATTCCGAAATTTCGGACTCAATTTCGTGTTTTTGTTTATACCAAAATCGGACCAATAAATGGAGTTTAACATTTCGTTCGTTTAACATCCTATCGTAAAAGTCCAAAGGAACAATATTTTAACATTTTTAATATTTCCAAATGGTATGTATTATGTAATTTTAACATCAAATTTCTGTTTCGTTTGGCTCCGAAATTTTGGAAAACATTTCATGACAGGTCCTCTGAAGTTAAAACGTTATGTAATAAAAAAATTAAGCTGATCTCAAATAATTGGCATAAGAGTTGGAAGATGACGATATTGCATACCTGATCTTGCTGAGGTCTATGAGGTAGCGATCTCTGTCGGTCAAGCACTAACGGTCGTATCGCTGTGGGCGGGAGTATGTGCTTCGCGTGGGTGCCCAGGGTACAAGCCCCACCAGCGCTGCCCACGCAGCGGTTGTGCAACTGAAATGCGTTTTAGGATTTCATAATATAGACTAATTCTTTTATTTCAGACTTTTTGTTCATTAATATTTTTTAGTAACAATGTTCTTATAGCTAAACACACACACATACATACACACACGTGCGCACACACACACACACACACACACACACACACACACACACATACACACACACGCACACATAGAGTAAATTTATATAATTAAGATAATACAAGTAATCACTACTGTACAATTCCATTGGAAATTGACTGCCGCTCATGATTAAGGATCACGAATTGGTCCAAAAACTAGTCGAGTTTTCTTGATCTAATCACATGTAAGTTAAACCGGCAGTTATTACATTAAAATATGATGATGATGATGATGATGATGTAGAGAAATATAAAGAACCTACTGTGATATGACACCATCGACAGTGAAGTCCAGTTATGCCGTTGTATCCTTTGATCTTTTTCCGACACCGGGCACATTTCCCATGACAGTTGCCTAAAAAACAAAACATATAATTAAATATTGAATAAACATAGATTTAGATTCTAGACTAACCTAATATACTCAGATATTCCCCATCTGATTATTAGTAACAGAGATTAGCATTTCCATTGCTAGCAATATAGGGTATATTGCTAGCAAATTGCACCAGGTCGAACTGCACGCGGTTCCTTTTAGAAATCATCGTGGTTATGTCTTATGAAATTCGTCACTGACCAACCATAGGCCAACTGACCTGCCTTTTCATCCTCACCTATCATCCCTAACTGGTACCCCGCCAGCGTGTACCGATAGCGCAGGAAGGGTTACCATTCCATTCTCAGCCGTTATATAAAAACACAGGATATCTTAGATATTTTAAAGACAAGTCATTTATGCTAAAATAAGCAGGTGTAATAACACCGTATTTGAGAAATAAATTATTATTATTATATTATTATTGCTAGCAGATAGATAGATAGATAGACCTCCACCTTTATTGTTTTCCAAAAGATTGAACAACAGTTAAACTTCGTTACGATATAACACCTGACATCCTCACCTATCACCCCTCACTGGTGCTCCGCCAACAGTATACTCGATAGTCCAGACGGTTACTGTTACCACTTTCCATAGGCGGGCTTTACCACTTTCCATCCACTTTCCGTCAGCTTGTTTACCATTCTAAGTTGTAAAAAAAAAACAATAACATTATCATTATGTTCATATGATACCTTCAACCCAATGGTGGGCAAGCGTGGCGGACGCTCTTCTGGACTTCGAATAAGTTGCTATACAAGAGGCCGGAGCGCGCTGTACACAACGTTCGTGTACTGTGAACTTGCAAACTGAAAGGAAAAAATTGTCAAATTAAATTTACCAGAGAGAGACTTTGCACAAAAATCGTTTGCTTGGCCACCTCTGTCTCATTCGTGTTTCAACCGTGAAGCAGTTGTGTTTGCATGGCTGTGTTTCGGTTTGAAGGGTGGGATATGGCAGTGAATTTACAGTTGTTATGTTGTTAGAATTGACATCGTTTTTTTTTTTGTGGGACAATTTTTAATTATATTAAATTAGGAAAAGTTGATATATATATATAGATAGATAGATAGATACTCTTTATTGTTTCCTTCAAAAGATTACAATAGCAAACTTATTATAAATATAAATAATTACATGAAATAATCACAATGAGAAAACAATGGGCGACCTTATCGCTAAGAGCGATCTCTTGCAGGCAACCTTTGGATGGAGAGGAGTAATTATAAACTGTTCGATTGACGAAGTCGTTTGCAATATTTAAAGGGCTGATTAAGGGTAATATCAAGAATAGAACGTGATATTTGCATCTTAGTACTTTTTTTTATTGCTGTATTTCGAACCTTGCCTGCTCTGTATTAAAGGTTGGTAATATATGTATATCAATATCTATATATTTTAGTTACCATATATTGACCTAATAATAGATATGGTATCTATCGTATATCCAATATATGATATCGAAAAGTAGAACCTGTTCGTAATGAATATAGATACTGAATATTACTCATCTCTCTACTCTGTGTGTAATATTTTTTTCTCAAACATGCTTGGAAATGTGAGCATTATTTTGACAATCTTCTTCGAGATAAATCAAAATTGCCGTACTGGCCAGATACATGCGGGCAGCGGCCGGTAAAAGTTGTATGAAAATCCATATCTGTCGTGTTTTGCGGCCAGATAAATTACTATGTAAACTCATATCTGTCCTATAATTTAAAAATGGAATGACCTTTTACTTCGAAACATGGCTACCAAGGAGGTAGCTAATCAAAGGTTTTATTTAAATTTCGAACTGGCTTGCAAATAGAAAGATATTTATTGAAAAAAAAAAAAACAAAGGAACATTATGGCGCGTGAAAAATTATTATTGTTCGTTATTCGTCATTGATTTAAAAAGTAAAATTGTTTTTGATTTTCGCGCATTGTTTGAGAAAAGTATTATACAAGCCTTGGCCACAACTAGGCATTGATGGATTCACGTATGTGTGCCTCGGCTGCGCCTCGGCTCACATTTGCATGTTCGTCCATTAATGCCTCAGTTGCTGGCCGCTGCAGTAATGTACTATTCTGTTATTTGTACTGTTTGTTTCCTAAATAAAAATAAAATATATGTATGTATGTATACAGGGAAACAATTATTTTTACACACGAAATATACAGGAAAATAATATAAAAATCAGCAAAGTTTATATAAGTAAATAGAATACATTGAATAGACAGAAATATATTACCTGCTCAATTGGAAACGACAAGGCAACACGCGGAGAAATAAGGAAATTGGGCAACTATATATACATTACTTACGTAAAATTCAACATTTTATTTGTGAAACACAAATAAATGGTAATGTTATCTAACGACATATGTTTTTTCTACATGTTTAGCGTATATGACATACAAAAAAAATAGGTATCTATATATCGTCATAGTCGTAGAATACTGACCGATATGTATATTTAATCTTTGTCAGATCCGTCAGTATTCTACAACTACGACGATATTAATGCGTGAAGCAAAAACTTAGTACCCCTTTTTACGAAAATTGCTCGGACGGAGAAGTAGGAAATTTGGCATACTTATAGTTTATATGGAAAAAGAGTGCAGAATGCTAATATTGTTTTAAAATTATACATAAAAAACACATTAAATCATTAAAAAAATACACACACACTACTATAAATTTGACACACACACACACACACACACACACACACACACACACACACACACACGCATATACTATACTCTTTTGTTTGTTGTTAAAGTCTGTGGTCAAATCGAGAATAGATTAATATTGTTTGTCTGTTAATATTATTTGTCTACAGTCTTACTGAATGTCAAACATAACCATAATAAATTCATTTATTACAATATATGTTATGGTCGAATTTCGACCACGCTTATATAAGCTTTCTCCCACTGACTACCATAAGCAACGATCTCAAGTTACCCGCATCCACTGATTCCCTGCAATGCATTTGAGGTCATCACTCCACCTAAGCATTTGTTTGAAGTGAAAGGAATTGTTAGTAATAAAAGAATAAAAATTCTTTTTTTGGTCAATACATTAATGCAGTATTTCTGTTAAGTGTACGTATTCTATCAGTTTAAAAAGGTTGTAACATCAATTTAGTGATATTGATAAAGTAGACCTACTCACATATACAACAGAGTCCTTTTTTCCCTAACCCGACCAGCATGTTCAAACACAGATTGCAGTATGCGGGCCGGCTGAAGTGTTTCAACCTCCACGCATGCTCCCCATCTTCTTTCACGTTGGTGTCCAATCCTAGGAGGACTAATAGTGGTATTGTGGTCATTCTGGAGAGAAATAGAGAAGTTGTGTGATAAACAATTGTTTCTCCTTAGCACTTTTGGGCTACTCATACTACCATATGGGGCTTTTCATAAAACGTAAATATATTGCAGCCAAAAATCTTAACTAGTCAAAAGTACTATTGACTTGGGGGAAAGGGATTGTTAATAATGGAGACTGAGAATCTCATTGCTAGCAATATACCCAACCAGGTCGACCTCCTCGCGGTTCCCCTGGAAACTATCATGGTAAATTCCTGATGATTTTTTTTTATTTTATTTTATACAAAAATCCACAGCTCTTAAAAAATAACTTACATGCTAAGTTTCTTATGAATACGGTAAATAACGGATTTTATTTATACAAACAAAAATTATGATACCAAAGCGAGGTAGGCAATTCATTCATTCAATTCAATTCTAGAAATTCATCATGATGGGCTAACTGGCCTGTTTTCATTCTCATCGATCACCCTTCACTGGTGCTCCGCCAGTGTATCCCGTTAGCGCAGGCGGGGTCACTATACCATTTTCACCCATCAAAAAAAAAGTACTATTTATTAGCAAAATGAATCTACTTTTGACCGTATGCTTTAGTCAATATATACATTTAACTAAAATAACAGTTAAAAGTACCTAACCTAACTTAACGTTAACCGCAAATTTGCAGTCAATTTGCAGTACTAATAACCAATAATTTTTAGTTAAAACCATTTTTGACCAACCTGTTCCGTCAAAAGTACTTTTGACTGATTTTCCTAGTCAATAATACTTTTGACTGGTTAAGAGTTTTGACTGCAATAAATACAAAGATTGAGGGAAAGGGATTGTTAGTAATGGAGTCAAAATAGCCCTATTGCTAGCAATATACCCTGGCAGGTCGACCTCCACGTGGTTCCCCCTGGAAACCATCGTGACTAATTCTAGTTTAATTCGTCAGGGTGGGCTAACTGACCTGCTTTCATCCTCATCAGTCATCTATCACTGGAGCCCCGCCAGTGTATACTGATAGCGCAGACGGGGTTACCATACCATTATCACCCATTAAAAAAAATACAAAGATTAAAAAAGGTCAACAACTCCCCTCGTGTTGCAAGTGTTTGATGGGTGAGAGTAGATACGTTCCAAGTGGACAGTTCATTCGTTTGCCTCCCTGGTAATTAAAAAAAATCCTTGACTTAAGTACATTTAAGTCACTTCGGTTAATCAAACAGTTAAAATATAATCAGTATTTGTAAAACTTTTATAAAAAAAGATCATTATCATTTTAACCCATCATCATCATCATCATCATCATTTCAGCCATTACCCGTCCACTGCTGGACATAAGCCTCCCCTATAGACTGCCATAAAGAACGGTCCTTAGCCACCTGCATCCACTGACACTTTTACCTTTTATTTTTTTAACCCATACAAGGTATAAAAGACTTTGAAAGGGAGATTAATACGAAGTCCTTTTAAAATCACTTAAGGCACGTCGCATTGACGTCGTGATGTGAAAAGACGTTGACGTCATATTGCCGTCACTTCCAATGTTAGGGATGGTACTTCTCCACCAGAGAAAGATATAGAACTGCAGCTACTATGCTAGCTGTAGTTTATATATATATATATATATATATATATATATATATATATATATATATATATATATATATATATATATATATATATATATATATATATATCACCCACGACACCAGCTAAGGAGACAGTTTGCTCTCACGAGCGCCTAAACTATGGAATGAGCTCTTTGCCGAGGTTTTCCTTAGAGATTATTGTATGGGGTCCTTCACAAAGAGTATATTAAGGTTTCTTCAGGGTCAGCAACGAGTACGTAACACCCCTAGTGTTGCAGACATCCATAGGCTACAGTGACCGTTTACAGTCACAGTACAGTCGGGCTATATGCTTGTTTGCCACCTTTGTGGTATAAAAAATATTAGATGTTTTCGTGTTAATGACAGTAGGCCCGAAATTTATGCCACTAAAGAACGACATGTGCACACGTGCAGTACTAGTATTACCATAGTATATTTTCCACTTACCCTCCCCTTTTCCATTCATCAAGGGACACTGTTCCATCTGCATCATAATCAATTTCTACCATCATGTCTTGTAAGATCTGTGAACAAATTTGCTCATAAAAATAAAAATTCACCCACGGGAAAGCAAGGCGTGGCCTATTCTACGCCGGGACCATACGGGACATTGAATATATTCGCTCGTATTTATTGCTGTTATCAAATATTAAAAGTATTAAAAAAAATACTGAAATTTCTCCAAGACCATTTTAAATTTACTCCAGAAATTTCTTCAACATTTCGCGACCAAAAAATATTTTACCCAAAATTGTGGAAGTAGCATCCAATCTGGCAACACTGGCTCACACTTACCGGCCGTAATTCCGACGTCTCCCAGCCGAGGTACTCAGCGACGGTCATCATCTGATTCACGATGCAGTCCATCTCGTTGGTGTCCAGCACTCCGTTACCGTCAGTGTCGTACAATCGAAACATAACTGGGAATTTTTTTTAATAAATTAAATTTTTACAAAATAACTATCATTTTGCCTGCTATTTTGTATGCGTGGATTTTATGAAATTCATAAAATAAACCACTTTTAGATGGTCTGTCAAAATGAAATATAAAAATTGTAAGAAGAATGACCATTCATGGAAAATATGCCAGAGGGAGACTTTGTACAAAAGTCGTTTGCTTAGGCATCTCTATCCCATTCGTGTTTCTACCGTGAAGCAGTTGTGTTTGCATGGCTGTGTTTCGGTTTGAAGGGTGGGTAATGGCAGTGAATTTACAGGGTACAGAGGGATGACACTTGAGTCCTCAGGAATGGCCACGCATAGGAGGTATCATGGGCGAAACAGTATACTCTGTTATGTCTATTACTGCTTATGTTTATAAGCGATGGTTACCACTTTCCGTCAGCTTGTTTGCCATTCTAAGTTTCATAAAAAAATTCAGAATTTTTACTATCGAACGGTTCCACGTTTGATCACGATCTCACCTGTTGGGAAACCATTATGTGGTCTAAGATAGGCGAACGGTTATTACTAATTTGGTCCAGGGAGAGATCACTCCTTGGTCGTACACAAGATGAAGGAAGACGCAAAGCACTTCCTGTGTATAACTGATATGTCTACGACGGAATTTAGCTTGCCAAATTACTGCCCAGCTACGGACTTGGATTCTACTCGCTGGTCGGACCAAAAAAAATAACTAGTTAGATTTATCATCTAGGCTGAATAAAACACTGAACTGAACACGCGTTGCGAGTCAAGTGGACCTTCAGTGTGTGACTCTTTAGACCGAAGAGTTGTTTTTTTTTTTACATATTAAACAGTACGAAGTGTCCCACACTAACAGTACGAAGTAGCGAGCAAAACATTAATATTCGATAATCTTACCACAGCTGTCTACAACTGTTGTACTTACATTCCAGTTTATCTTCTGGTCGCCCCGCCTCCAGAAGAGACAAGTAGCAAACTATGTCTTTGAGCGAAACTCGAGCAGTGTGGACTTCGAGTGTGGACGGTCGTCTGATTAGGTGTTTGAAGTCTGAAAATTATTGCAATTGGTAAATAATAGAATGAGCCAGGGGTGTTTTCTTTTATATCACTGAGGTGGCAAACAAGTATACGGCCCACCTGATGGTAAGCGGTTACCGTAGCTTATGAACGCCTGCAATACCAGGGGTATTACGCGCGCTTTGCCGACCCTGAAGAAACCTCTTTACCCCCTTTTGAAAAACCCTATACTGTAATCTCTTGGGAAAACCTCGACATTCCATAACTTGATTGTTCGTGAGAGAAAACATCTTTGTATCTGTTCTCCTATAGTAGTCAGTCCTCTAGTGTAAGGGTACATGGGTACACGAACTCGGACTACCGAGCTAGTGCAATTTCTGACCAGTAACCCTTCCACAACTGCAGTGTCCCCTTTTCATTTTTTTCCCATTAATTCATTATTCCTTTTTTTACTAACTTCCTTTACTCGTTCTTAATGCTCTCTTCCTTTTCCTTGACCCTTTCCTTCATATTCTAGGTGGTGGATAAAACCAATAAATGGATTTCAAAAAAGGCCAAAGCAGCAAGCCACTTGTATAACTAAAAACCAAAAACCTTAGGCAATATAGACAAAAACATTTTACGTCAACCTTAAATAATTGGGATAAGGGCAGGAAGCTGACGAGTAAATAATATAAGCATATGGCGACTTATTATTTCATATATGTGTGCTAACGAAAACATTTTTTTTATGCTGTCCAAATTTTTTTATATAATTAACTTTGAATGGAAAGTTGCCGCCACCCACCTGATGGAAAATGGTAACTGTCATTCATATGATGCGCTAGCACTACTCAATTTGCTTCTACTTATCAAACCATTTTTCTGCCCAATTCTCTGATTGCTCAGCAACTAGATATTGATATTTTCAGTGTCATTTTCAGTGATATTTAAAACTTCTATATGTTTAAATTTTTTAAGTCAATTTTGTCAGTAGTTGCCATGCTTGGCAGGTGGGTTGGAAACCGTAATTAGGCTTTAATGATGTTTTAAGTAGGAAGCTGTTGCCCATTCCTTTATCATTAAGTTCTCTTAGTCACGTCTTACGATACCCATGGGAAAGGAAGGGGTGGCCTATTCTACGCCCGGATCACATGGCGAACAACCCCAAAAATCGAATCCCGAAGAGCGAATTATCAGTAGATATATTTTCGCTACTTTCTCTTCTTCTCAAGTAGATCACCTAAGCGCGTATGTATCGTTGACTTATATGGAGGAGGTAGGAATACTCATAACAAAAAATACGAAACAAACTTACAGCCTACCTTCAATTTTTGTAGATTGATTAACCCGTAGCGAATTGCTGCTTTTCCTACTGGAGTTCCTGGACATTTGACTGTGGCTGGGGCTGGTTTCCGTCCGTCTGTCAAGACATAACTCGTGTGAGGAGTACGACGGATGGGTCGTCACTGTGAACATTGGGTGTACGCTCCCTGAAACAATAATTATTTAAAAAGAAAAAAAAAAACATAATTTAAGAATACTTTACTAATAGTATAAATGTGAAAATTTGTTTGTCACTTCATGGCGTTTTGATGGCTTAACCAATCGTCATGAAAATTGCTATGCACGTACTATATGGGCCGAAAAAGGTCATAGACTTCTATTTGTTTTGGTTAGTAGGCATATCCTGGCGACGCGGACGAAACCTTTCTACTCCATCGGTTTTTGGTTCTTTGAGCTATATGACAGGCTCATTGACATTTCAGCTTGCTTATCCTTCGGATTATGTCTGTCTAATTCTTTGGCAGATATCCTCAATTCGGATTCTACCACGCAAAGAAACTCCGAGCCCTCTCCATAGCTCGCTGAGTAATTTGCAGCTTTCGCATACGAGAAATCGTGTAGGACCATGTATAAGGAACTGGTTCTGTTTCAGCTTGTAAAGTTTGACCTAAATCAACTAACTTACACTATAAATAGAAAGACTGCAAATAATATAATTAAAAATTGTGTTACAAAAAATTAAAACTCTCTCGAAATGACCTTTCTAAATTTTCAAATCCTAACACCCTTTTCAATTGAACTCAACATTTACCAGTCCTGCTCCTGGAGCCCCTGTCACTGCCGTCGACGGAGTCCCCTGAACTTCTGCCGAGTTGTTGCAACCGCTCGGCTAGACCGTGAATTTTTGATGCCAAACTTAGCTTGCCCTAGAAGCGAAAAGGCAAATTGAAAAGGCGAATAATTTATGAAAATCATTCTTAAATTCTAACACTGTTATTTAATAGTAATAATAATTTAATAGCATGAAATTTTGTTCAGTAGTTTTTAAGATCATTGCGAACATACAAACAGACACGATAAGGAACTTTGTTTTATAATTAGTGAAACAGTTATCTTTAACTATTATTCACCACTATTTTTATGATACTTAGTTTTCTAATTTATTGGAAATGGAAATTTAATGGAAAGTGGTGGGGGAGGGGAGAGGGAGGGATTGTTAGTAAAGGAGACATATCAACCCCATGGCTTATACCATATCAGGTCGACTTCCCTACGTTTCCTCCTGGAAGCCATCGTGCTAAATTCCTGGTGTATTCATCACGATGAGCTAACTGACCTGCTTTCTCATCTACACTTATCATGCCTCACTGGTGCTCTGCCGGCGTATACCGATACCGCAGGCGGGGTAACCATATTCCTCATCAGGAAATGCTTAGCGAGGAGTTACCTGATGGTCAGCGTGTGCCGTGACGGCCGCGCAGGCTGCGGCGGAGCTCGCCGCCGCCATCTCCCGTAGCGCCGGTCGCCGGTCCCGGCGGACGAAGGAGAGGAACAGGTGCCTGTTGGACAGAGACATAGTAAAAATACCATACTGGGGGGAAACAGTTTGTTAGTAAAGGGTTTCTAACAGTCCTATTGCTAGCAATATAATCTATCAGGTCGATCTCCACGCGGTTCCCCTTGGAAATCTGGAGCTTGTCCAATTCTTCACGATGGGCCGACTGACCTGCCTTCATCCTCATTTTCTAAATAAAAAAAAAATTGCCATGTGTGAAACTATTATTCTCTATGGCCTATATATCTCTATGGCCGTGTGGTCCCGGCATAAAATAGGCTAATCCTTCCTTTCCGTAGGTGTCGTAAGAGCCGACTAAGGGAGGGCGAGGGATGGGCAGCAGCGTCCCTCTTAAAACATTTCCAAAGACTAACTGCGGTTGTTAACCCATCTGCCAAGCGTGGCAACTACTGGCAACCCCCTCTCCCACCAGGGGAGGTTGATATAAAACGGATATCAATTCCGTTTTAAGACGACGTAAAACGGAATGAGCTCCCAGCCTTGGTTTTTCCAAGGGACTACAGGATGGTGTTCTTCAAAAGGGGGGGGGGGGCAGTTAGAGGTTTCTTCAGGGTCGGCAGGGTATGCTTGTTTGCCACATCAGTAAACCTTAAATAATAAAAAATAAATATATCCAATCGTGCGGATGAAGTCGAAGGTAAAATCTAGTAAAAGATTTTTTGTATGCCACTTAGAATGGCAAACAAGCTGACGGCTGGCCTGATGGAAAATGGTAACCGTCGCCTATAGACATGAGCAGTACCATGGACATAACAGAGTATACAGTTTCACCCATGATATCCCCCCATGCGTTGCCATTCCAGAGGACTCAGGTGTTAGATAGATAGATAGATAAATTATTTACATTACTTACAGCACACAAATTACAATAAAAAAAAATATACACATAATACACAGTAAAAGAGACAAAAGAATAAAAACAAAAAAGCACAAAACAAAAAAAAAATATATAAACCAACAATTTCCTTTCTTTCCTTCCCTTCATACGTGTGCCATAGTAACACAAAATGGTCACAACTCAGTTTATTGCTTGGCCCTTAAAAGAGCAAAACACTGATATTCTATTGTGGCCAAGAGTCAGTCGCGAAATTCCTTATTAAAAACAATAATAAAAAGAAATATAAATAAAATGCATTGCGTGTATCTATTACATTCGCCTCCATTTGATATTATATTCTAAATAAATAAATAAATAACAAATACCATTAGATGAGGGGTAGTCAGAGGTCACTTTCTGTCACATTCATTATTCCTCTGTACCTTGTAAATTCTCTAATCAATAGTTACCTGGACAGTTCATCTGGTGTGGAGACCTCGAGGAATGTATCAAGAAACCAACGGAAGCCCTCATAGTCGATGTCCTGGAACAAAAAAAAAATACATTAAATATATAAATTAATAAATTTAGATTATTAATCAATCAATACATACATATAATAAAATCGTAACTGGTCGCCGTCTGTACATGGAAGATATATAAGAAAGACTATTATAGGGGGACTTATGAACTATGACTTATGACTTATGAACGTAATAGCCCGGAACGTAATATAATAATAATAATGAACGTAATAGAACCCAAAATAATGATTTTTAGGATTTTTGTCTGTATGTATGTCAGTCTGTAGGTTTGTGCACGGTAATCTCAGAAATGGCTCTACTGATTTGAATGTAGTTTTCACTAATGCGTTACGATTTGCTCTACTTAACATTTGTTTTATTTCAGCCGGTAGAGGGAGACTTTGTGTAAAAGTCGTTTGCTTGGATACCTCTGTCACATTCGTGTTTCAACCGTAAAGCAGTTGTGTTTGCATGGCTGTGTTTCGGTTTGAAGGGTGGGATTTGGCGTGAATTTACAAGGTACAGAGGAATAACACCTGAGCAAGTGATAAGATTCTCAGGAATGCCAATAAATATTAGAACGCATGGGGGTTTATCATGGGCGAAACAGTATACTCTGTTATGTCCATGGCACTGCTCATGTCTATAGGCGACGGTTACCACTTTCCATCAGGTGGGCCGTCAGCTTGTTTGCCATTCTAAGTTGTATAAAAAAAACCTCCAGCCGAAATTATTCTAATATTTATTTTGAAGCTACCATAGTTTGTTCAAACATACGATATTTTAATAAACCGATAGAATACGCCTCGGGCGAGAATCCGTTTATTTATATTTCATTTCAATAACTTCATTCAATTTTTACCCGACTACGTAAAAAAATATTTTGTTATTTTCTACTTATGTAGATAATCATTAAAGAGTTTATAAAAAAAAAAAACTACTTCATTTGTGACAAAACCAGTTATTTCGATCTAAAAACTAAACTACTCGACCAATTTTGATAAAATTTCTATAGACTGAAAATTAATTACTTTCATTTTATTATATATAGATTTTTAAAATTTCCTGAAATATTATTAGTTAACGTTTTATTTAATATTGTAGAATTGATCAATACAATTTATAAAAATAATTTATTGATCAAAAAAAATACAATTTATAGTTTAAATAATTTACCCGGTGCTTTGCCCATCTGTACATACATATAATATAATCGTAACTGGTCGCCGTCTGTACATGGAAGATATATTTTTCTATTATGAACTATGACTTAAATACGTAAAAACCAAGATAATGATTTTTAGGATTTTTTTGGGTGATGCACGGTAAGCGATTTGTGAGTATTTCAAGGCGCTTTCTATGTATGAAGATATATATATATATATATATATATATATATATATATATATATATATATATATATATATATATATATATATATTGCAATCAACTTCCAACAACAGTAGGTATTTCCGAACCGATACGAAAACATAACCTTCAAGAAAAGAGCATATTCCTTTTTAAAAGGCTGGCAGCACACCTGCAATGCCGTTCATCATAAATTAGTTCAGAAGTTTAGTCACATTCTATGGTATAGTTCTAGAGCAAAATAACAGGTTTTGCCACATTTGAAGTCAGTTTTTTTTTTTTAAACATTTTGTATGAAGCGTCCGGGCTTGTATTTTATATAAGCGCTCGTACAGCCTTGATCTGGACCTTGATTTCATGTAAACAGGCCTATTTCGAGAGGAATATATCCCTATTAGATAAGATGTCGATCCGGTTGCCTAGCAACCGAGACTTACGCCCTGCCCGACGACGCGCTCTGTTGACAAATATTTGTTCTCGAATCTTTAGGAGAATGACTTAGAAAGCGGAAGGGGTTTTTTTTTCAAATTATCAGCATCGTTTCAGCCATTATCCGTCCACTGCTGGATATAGGCTTCCACCATAGACTGTCATAAGCGTTCCTTATGGTAGTCTATGGTGGAGGCCTATATCCAGCTATGTGATCAAAACCTGGTCACATAGCTTGAAGAACCGATAACCGATGGGGAAGAAAGGCTCTTGAGTGGTGATCGTGTACGGGCAAACACAGTGTAGGACGACTTCCCCACTAGATGGAGTGACAACCTGAAATGCATTGCAGGGCGTTAATGGATGCAGGTGGCTCAGGACCGTTCTATATGGCAGTCTATGGGGGAGGCTTATGTCCAGCAGTGGACGGATAGTGGATGAAATGATAACGCTGCTGATACTTTATGTATTAATACACACGGGCGAAGACGAGGAAAATAGCTAGTATGAAATAATAACCATAAAAATTAATTACTATACGAGTATAATAACAGTTTATAATAACAGTTTATAATAAGTATCTCAGTTAACAAAAGCGTATAATCTTAACCAAGATCTTCGAAATCTCTATACAGTTAAATTAAACCCACTCGTAACTATTTCTCGTATGTATTATGTCTACTTTGTCCTCAGATAGTGTTAAACAAACAGTACGACCCGACACTTATGGCTTTAATCTCGTGTTCCTTTGTGAGTTTTGAAATAGAACGCCTTTTCGAGCACGATAGCTTAGAATTTTATTATTAATCACTATTATTATAATAGTCGTTAGTTAACTCTTTATTGCTGAACATAAGCCTCCCCTTTGGGGGGTTTTAGTAGTTGCCACGCTTGTCAGGTGGCTTGGCAACCGCAGTTAGGCTTAAGAGATGTTTCGAGAGAGACGCTGCTGCCTATCTCTCGTCTTTCTTTAGTCGCCTCTCACGACACCCACGGGAAAGGAAGGGGTGGTCCATTCTATGCCGGGACCACACGGCAAATGCGTTTTGTATGACTGTATCATTGTATATATTGCGTATTTACACATAGAATTTCCGTAAATGTCGTAAGAGACGACTGAGGGAATGTAATAGTCGAGGTAGACAGTAGTATCCCTTTTAACCTATTATCAAACTCTAACTGCGGTTGCTAACCCGCTTGCCAAGCGTGGCAACTACTAGCAAGACCCCCGTTATGGGGGAGGCTGTAATTTTATCTACACGTGTGTACCTAGACGGGGCAGATCGCTTTACAGCAAAATAAAGACAAACTGAGAATCTATTACATTTGTACCTAATTGCAAAATGTCTCCCTCTGGTATTTCAACAGTAAAACAAACAAAACTCGATATTCGATACAGATATACCCAGAAGGGAAATATCATTACGTCCCGGTAATGCTGAGATTAAGTTACCAACTTCACCCCGTCACTAGCTCTGACGTCACAGCACACAGCCGGTGGATGTTTAATTTTGTATCAGAACTAGTGATGTGCCTATTCTAGCCTTTTATACTAATCGAGTATTTTAGTACTCGTAAAAAAAGCATCGAATCGATATCGAATATTTTTCAATTTATTTCTGATGTCTATTTTTAATAAATACTAGCTTTTTTTCAATTTATTTTGTATGCATGGATATAAGAAGTAGAAAAAAACAATGATATAGACCACTTGAAGATAGCGTAGTAAAATAAAAGATACACCAGTTTTTAAGTTAGACAATTTAATGAAGCAGTTTTAAGCGTAATGTAAATAGACGTACAAACAGACACACAAAATTTCTAAAAAGCCTAGAAATATTTTTATTATATTAATAAGAAGAAATATAATAATTTTAAGAATATCAATAATCAAGGATATTTCCTTTTTTAAGGGAGCTCCCTTTATTAAGGGAGCTTATGGTGGAGGAACAGGCAGCTGCCAGCCTCCCTCTTAAAAAAATCACTAAAAGACAAACTGCGGTTGCCAACTCGCTTATCAAGTGTGGCAATTACTGGCACCCCCCCCCCCCATGGGGGAGGCTATGTTCAAAAGATAATAAATCACTAGTTACATATCACCAGAATACTTCAAATGTGGTTTCAATTATCTTTGTGATCCTCACACATGTGAACTTTGCTCTAACAACTCTCTTGTCCTCTCCATTCCACTACATCGGTCTGGTTTGCTTTCTAATTATCGCACTCTTGAGGCCTCACGACTGGAATGCGCTACCCATTGACATAAGACAAGTATCTAACAAACTACTTTTAAGAAAAAAGTCTATCGAAATACGAAACGAGTAGGTAAATACTCGAATCTAGTAGGTATTCGAGTTAGTACTCGATTGAACCTGACTCGGCACATCACTAATCAGAAGCTTAAGTTCTGTAAGGAGTATAAATTGCTACAACACCAACGTAGGTACGGTCGGCAAGGTAAGTAGCTAATTTATTGTAAGTAGGTACTTACAGTGAATTAATAATTCGGGCTAAAAATAAAATGTTGACAAAATTTGTATTGGACGTTTCAATTTTATTTAATACTAGTGACTAGCGACCCGCCCCGGCTTTGCATGGGTGCAATATTTGTTTGTGTAAGTTTTAATCTGGCATTTTAGTAAGGCTAATATTTTGACGTGTGTGAAAGTACTGCAGTAATATTCTTTAAGATTTTTTTTATACAACTTAGAATGGCAAACAAGCTGACGGCCCACCTGATGGAAAGTGGTAACCGTCGCCTATAGACATGAGCAGTACCATGGATATAACAGAGTATACTGTTTCGCCCATGATACCCCCCATGCGTTACCATTCCTGAGGACTCAGGTGTTATTTCTCTACCCAGTAATTTTACGCCATATCCCACCCTTCAAACCGAAACACAGCCATGCAAATATAACTGCTTCACGGTTGAAACACGAATGGGACAGAGGTACCCAAGCAATCGACTTTTGTATAAAGTCTCCCTCTGGTTATTCTCGCACGGCCAGCGGCAGCGACAGCGCCATAATTTTATCGGCTTATTGTTTTTATTTCGCATTATTTTCTGACCAACTGCATCATGCAACATGCTGTAAAAAGTAAACTCTATGAAATTTCCATTTCGATTTAGATACACTTGAGGAAAAAATTAATGGATCAAAAAAAATTCCAAATTTTTTAAGGTTTTTGAAGCAGCTGTATTTCCCTTAAAAATGGTCGT